AGGCGGGTGAGACCCTCGCCCACCAAACCGGCCACGTAATGGCAGTAGAGCTCGTATTCCTCAATGGTGTTAACACCGTTGGTGTTGTGCTCGGCGTTCAAGGCATAGTCGGCCATACCGTTGCCCATCTTGACCGTGATCTCGCGGATGATGTCGTAGTAAGGCTTCTTGACCTTCTTCAACTCTGCAATGACATCGTCAAAGTGAACCAGGAGTTCACGATCCTTCTCGTTAGGGCCATTCTCGGTAAAGGTCCAGCCATCAATCTCCATCAAATCGGCGAACTCGCGCAGTAAGGGCTCCTTCTTGGCGAGATCGATAGTCATGTCATCCTCGATCGTGTCAAGGCCACGAAGTACCAAGTAGAAGAGGCAGATGGGCATCAGGAGCTCGGGGTTGAGCTCCTGAATGACGGCGGAGAATGACCGCGAGGTCAGTTCGAGATAGCGGAAGCATGCCTTCTCCGTCTCGGTCTCCTTGGAAGGGTCGCGCCTGTGAACGGGCTCATGCCATACCTTCCTGTACAAGTCTTACAATTAGCATGTGGACGGCCCAAGACAACGGGAGGGTGGAGGGGGAAAGGGGAGGCGCATACCATTGCACGATGGACCTCAACTGGTTGGGATGGAGGAGGAAATATGCGGCCTTCGTAAACGCGCCCATGGTGGTGATTTGTGTTTTGAGTTTGCAACCCAACGTGTCTGTAACTATGCGCGCAAAGAAAGGCAAAGGCGGTGGAGGTATACCTCAGGGGGTTCGGCGCAGTCGGGTGGCCGGATGGATTAGGCCGAATTACACGATAGGACTTGAAGATAAGATCATAGGTTCCAATATACGTGAGAGGGGGTGATAACAAGTAATACAAAAGTCTATTGTGTTGTGGTGGAAAAAAACGACCAAGTCCAAATGGGAGGGGAAAAGAAAAGGTTGCTTCTTCTCGGGGCTGTCGCGACTCCACTCAAACTTTTGAATTCTTCCGGGGAACGGACGAGTTCGAATTGGCGAGATCGGGAAGGGGGGGTCTTGAGCCGGGGAGTTCAGTGACTGAGCTGTCACTGGAGGAAGCTCACTTCAAGCTTGACGCCACCGTGCTGAAATTGTTGGTTGGGTGGACGGGCTGGTTGGTTGGTTGGGTTGGCAGGAGAGACGGGGAATTGGAGCGGGATTAGGACAGATTTGGAGTCGGGGTCGGGTGCAGAGCGGGACTGGGGAAAGGACGGAAGGAAAGAAAATCCTCGAGCGAAGCGCCGGAGGGGAGAGATGTGGTCCGAGCTCCCACAGCGCCGCTTGGCACCAACAGGGCGGTCAAAGTCAATGAGGGTTTCTCATTGGTCAATGGTGGTTCACCAAAGGGTGTAAAGCTGTCAGGGGCCTCATCTACCTGTCTGTGCCTTGCACTAGAGATTCCCGTCGATTTGGTGCTGCTGCTGCTGCTGCTGCTGCTGCTGCTGCTGCTCACAATGAGGGGCAACTGTCTCCAAGTTCGAAGCTTGCTTAAGCAGGTTGAGCTAATGTCAGGATCCGTGCTCAAACGTCCGTCGAATAACGTAAAGACGTTGAGCTGCTGAAATTTGGCTCATGTCGAAGGATCTTGGATGTAGGAACAGCCAATCTGTTGAAAGTGAAGAGCAAAAAAAAGTTGCAAATAACTTTCGGGTTGATTGCAGTTTTGTGTGCGTCTGGCGTCTGCGGGGGATTTTATTCCGAGCTTCCAGATGAGTGGAGTAAGGGTCCGTCCGTCCTGTCCCGTAGCAACGGGACTGCGGCATGTCTTTGAACGGGAACGGGAATGCTCAGAATGCAAGCTGAGTTGAATGAACATGTTCAGGAACTCGCACGTGTTTGAAACAAAGAACAGTCTCGAAGGCAGCACGATTTCTGGTACTATGGAAGTTTTATGGTACAGGTGCCACGAGACTGATGCAACGAATCGACAATATCAGATTACTCTTTTATCTTTGGCAGCCGTACGGCAAAAACAAATTGGACCCTGGCAAACATCGATACCGGTACAACGACGGGGACCTCAAGTACACGTACTGTTACAATTCGATAAGACAGCGAGGCTATGGATCACACCGTCACAAACAGTCTATCTTCGAGAGACAAGATGCATGATCAACGTCCAGATTTGATAGATTGAAACTTCCATCTAGGGCCAAGACCCTACAAGGTCATCAGGGGTCCTATATGGACTTTTGGAAAAAGTGGCTGGCCGCCAACGCGCCGCTCTCGTCCTTTTTTTTTTTTTTTTTTTTTTTTTTTTTTTTTTTTTTTTTTTTTTTTTTGTTTCTTTTCCAGACCATGGGGTGGTTCCCCCCTCCCCCGCGTTTCCCGGCCAACGGGACAGATTCTGATTTACCGTCTTTTCAAGGGTTCAAGGGGAAAAGCCATCCAAGTGGATGATGGGAATCTCGACGTCTTGGGATGCAACCCGACCAGCGGCATTCCCATTACGTAGGTTCCCAAGCGGGTACCTTCAGCCTATGTACCCTTTTCGGTTGACCTCCTTTCATGTGGCCAGCTCTCCAGACCGCGCTTTCACTTCCAATTCTGGGCTCTTGGGAAATGCTTTACATTACTCCCTTCCCTTTCTTCCTCCCCTTCTGAGCTGGTTTCCTCACTTTGGTTTCTCAGCCCAACAAATCGTCTGTTCAGTCACGCCGTGACGCTCTCTCAAGGTCTACTCATCAGCTAAGCCAGAGCATAGTTTCTCTAATTGCCTCGACTCACCTTCTTGTCGTCCTCGGTTCCGCTGCATCTTACCCTTCGTCAACGAGGTTCAATATCGAAACCGCAGCTCAACTACCCTCCTCATGGCAACAACCGAGATCACGAACGGCAACAGACCCATCCGCTTTCTCATCTGGGGTGGTGATGGATGGGTTGCGGGCCACCTAAAGGCGTTGCTAGAGAGGCAGGGGAAGGAGGTATATTCAACCACCATCCGTATGGAGGACCGGGAGGCTGTCGTAGCGGAGCTCGATAGAGTGAATCCGACATACGTGCTGAACGCAGCGGGCTGTACCGGACGACCCAATGTGGACTGGTGTGAAGACAACAAGGAGGCCACCATGAGGTCCAATGTCGTGGGGACACTCAACTTGACGGACTGCTGCTTTACAAGAGGCATCCACATCACCGTGTTTGCGACGGGCTGTATCTATCAGTACGACGATGCTCATCCATGGGATGGCCCTGGCTTTCGGGAGACGGACCCGGCCAATTTTGCGGGCAGTTTCTATTCCATGACCAAGGCGCACGTCGAGGAGGTAAGTCTTGAGACTTTTTGGCCTACGGTCGTAATCACGAGGTTGACAACCGGATCAGGTAATGAAACATTACAACAACTGCCTCATCTTGCGTCTGCGAATGCCTGTATCGGACGACCTTCACCCGCGAAATTTTGTGACCAAGATCTCTCGGTACGAGAGGGTGGTGGACATTCCCAACAGCAATACCATTTTGACGGACCTTTTGCCAGCTTCAATCTTACTGGCCGAGCACGGGGAGGTGGGCATTTATAACTTTACCAACCCCGGGGCCATCTCGCACAACGAGGTCTTGACCTTGTTTCGGGATATCGTGCGACCCTCGTTTACGTGGAAGAACTTTAGCATGGAGGAACAAGCCAAAGTGATCAAGGCTGGTCGCAGCAACTGCAAACTGGATACAACCAAGCTAACAAGCAAGTTGATGGAATACGGCTATGAAATACCCGAAGTCCATGAGGCGTATAGGAGGTGTTTTGAGCGGATGAAGGCAGCGGGGATTCGGTAACTCCCGTCAGAGATGTTCTTGAGGACTTGGGTCTCGGCGTGATGCGGTTCGGTTAAAGACGTTTTTTTTCTTCCTTTTTTTTTTTTTTTTTGAGGTTTTTCGTTATTGATTGCTTTTGGTTGGGAGTCACTTTGCACGGAGTTAAAGGAACAAGTGGGTATGAGAAGGGCCAGATCATTTACATATAATTATTAGCGACGAAATGAAGACGACTTTATTAATACTTGGTTTACTAGACTCGCCAGGGTTGAGGATGCGCCGCCAAGAAGATGATTTGGGGCGTCTTGGGGGTTGAAAGCAGGACACGTATCATACGGAGCTCGCCCAACTGTACATTCACGGTGTTGTGGTTGATTGGTACATGCACAATACATATGAGAGTTTCCCGGCCTCGACGGTGTTGGAAAGTTATCGCGGTAACGGCGAGTCCAAACTCGGGTCCGTGACGGTGCTAGAGATCCATTTGCGGGCTCTGGTCACCGGCCACACCTGCTCACCGAGACCCGGCTTTCACCTCACCGTCGGCTCCTCACACTGACTGACATGGGCCAGAACAGCGGAAAAGGCCGGTGAAAAATGCAGGCCGACGTCAGGGGATCGCGATCATCACAGGCCCAGACGAACCCCGCCAGCCCACTTTGGGTAGGTAGAGGTACCTACGTACGTACCCCCGTCTTTGACATGTTCACCCACTGACGGACGGCACGGAGGGCTCCGATCCTTCCTGGGTCAGGTTTCCTCGTGAATTTTCGCACTCGGCTTCCTGTCGCTAATTACTTGGGTCGACTCGAGTTTTTGCAGATGCCATCTTGGCCCGTCATGCCATACATGGCCCGATTTGGTTTGTATCCTACTCAGGCTTGTGTAGTTGGGTTCAAACTCGGACCTCAAGATTCTCCATGTTCGACTTCCACTTGGAACACTTGAGCGGAACCAAGTCAGCAAGCAGATAGCCGCATTGGCACCTCAAAAGTCCAGTGGCATTGCATTTAAATGACAGCGCCGACACCTCAGTGCACCGCAGCCCGCCGTAGGCACCTAGTCCCAGCGTCGCAACCCGACCGAGCGACGTCAACGTAATTTGACTGGGCTGCGTCAGGTTCCATCTACAATCTCTCACCTTCTATCGGGCCATTGGCACATTTGAACCTTGTCGTCCTCCCTCAGTTAGACAAAGTCAATCAATTTTGCTTTGCTGTTGCCCTCGGCTCTCCTTCACAATAGTTGTTCCTTCAACGCTGCCACGGGACCTCCGGTTTTTTCCCTTTTACTTGGACGTGTGAAGGTCTTTTCTTTCCCCTTTGCCTCAGTGGTTCAAAGTCCCTGATCGGCGCCTGCGGACTCCTCCACAAATCGCGATCCATCATCGAGACCAGGCAACCTAAGTAAACGCACCCGCTGCTTTCATCCAACGGCGCAACTCGACGACAACCAATTTGTAACCCACTCCAAAGTCCCATCTTTTGCGACTCCGCCTGCCGCCACCATGGTGGTCGATACCGCTTACTATGACGTCTTGAACGTCAAGCCCACTGCGACTGAGCTCGAGATCAAGAAGGCCTATCGCAAGCTCGCCATTGTCCACCATCCCGGTAGGTTGCGACACCACTCCTTTTGCGACTTGGTTTGTCAAACAACATTAGACTGACAATATTGTCTCGCCTTGAACAGATAAGAACCCCGACGATCCTACCGCTCACGAAAGATTCCAGCAGATTGGTGAGGCCTACCAAGTACTGTCCGATCCTGACCTACGCGCAGCCTACGACAAGTATGGCAAGGAGTCTGCCCGGCCCACCGAGGGCTTCGTCGATCCCGCCGAGTTCTTCACAAGTATTTTTGGTGGTGAGGCCTTCGTGGACTGGATTGGCGAGATCAGTTTGATGAAGGACTTGACTGCCACCATGGAAATTAGCATGGCCGAAATGGAGGCAGAGGAGGCAGCCGCCGCCGCTGAAGGAGGCGAGTTCCCCGGCACTGACGAGGCCGTCAAGGAAAGCCTCAAGACCGCTGCTGGCGCCACTCCCGCAGACGCCTCCACTTCTGCTCCCCCCAAGGTTGTGGTCGAGGATGAGGCGTCTGCTGCCCCTGCCGCCGCACCCAAGGCCCCATCCCCATCACCCTCGCCAGCGCCTCCTTCAGGCTCGTCCACTCTTCGCAGTGGGAGCCGCATGCAGATCCCTATTCGCCCGGCCTTGATGGACAGGCCCGCGGACGAGGTTTTATCCGGAACTGAGGAGACCAACACCGACATCAACAAGAAGGGCAAGGATAAGAAGAAGGGCGGTCTTTCCAAGGAACAGCGCGAACAACTCGCCGCTTACGAGAAGGAGCGTGCACGTATCCGTGAGGAGCGCGTCAACACCCTCGCGCAGAAGCTGCTTGACCGTATCTCCATATGGACCGAAACCGACAGGGGCAAGGATGTCACAACTGCCTTTCAAGAAAAGATGCGCCTGGAGGTGGAGGAGCTCAAGATGGAATCTTTCGGTCTCGATATTCTCCACGCCATCGGTCAAACCTACGTCAGCAAGGCCACCGCTTTGCTACGCAGCCAAAAGTTCTTTGGAATGGGAGGATTCCTGAGCCGCATGAAGGACAAGGGCACTATGGTCAAGGACACATGGAACACCATTAGCAGCGCTATTGACGCCCAGCAGAGTATGGAGGAGATGGCTCGTATGGAGCAGCTAGGTGGCGAGGACTGGACTGAGGAGAAAAAGATGGAGTATGAGAGGAGAGTCACGGGCAAGATTTTGACAGCGGCCTGGAGGGGAAGCAAATTCGAGATCCAGAGCGTGCTCAGAGATGTTTGTGACGCGGTACTGAACGACAAGAAAATTCCCCTGGCGAAGCGGCTGGAAAGAGCCGAAGCGTTGGTGATTATTGGTGAAATTTGCTCAAAGGTAAGGCCTCAGTCGCTTCTTTGTGATCATTACGTAGAAAGCTTGCTAACAATGACGAACAGGCTAAACGCTCTCCTGAGGAAGAAGGCGACTACATGGCTTTCGAGCAGCTCGTCGCCGAGGCCAACCTGAAGAAGGAAAAGGAGTCCAAGAAGAAGGACAAGGAGAAGAAGAAGCGCCACAGCAGCGATAAGGGATCTACTCACTCTGCCCAGGCTGCGGCCACGGCTGCCGACGCGCCCAACGTACCGAAGACCTCGTCATAGAAAGGCGACTTCCTGGTGTAATGGTTTGCTGTTCTCTGTGGCTAGGCTTTCCCTTGATATACAGGCTTCTTGTTCGAGGACGGATCCGAAAACGATAGGAGGCATGGGAGAGCGTTGTATCTCCTTCCCGAGGTGGGGCATATAAACGGTCGGCTATACAGGCTACTATTCGCCAAGTGGCAGAGACTGGACGACCGGAGGACGCGGTTAGGCGTGAGAAAGAAGCCTTGGGCGGCGGAGTTATTGTCTCGAAGATCTACAAGGGACGATATCGGTGTGTGTAATATCAGCGTCGACTGACGGCGTGAGCTGGGGGTATCTGCAGTGAGACTGAGACATGCGTGTGTGAAGGTGAGGGAGGACTAATACCCAGGATGTGTGCAGGAAAGGAAAATGAAAAATAACAGGCCACCTAGAGAAATTCAGCGCTGTTCATCATCATCACTACCACAAACTTTGTGAACCTTGCTTTGCTATGACTTATTCTCACGTAGAGCCACGAGAAGAACCCGACGGGAGTGACAATCATCTCAATGTCCCTGACATGGTGTCTCGCCTCTTCGTATGATAGGTTTCGGCAAGTGTCCACTACAGATAGGATGCAATTTACGTTGACCTCTGGACCCCAAAAAAGTCTCTGAACCCAGCACTTGTAATTGCGAAGGAGTTAAGCTAATATTGATAATGATTGAGGGTGGTGTTAGTTTCAAGAGATAGAAACTCTGGATCCGTGAGCTGAAACATCCATGATGAGGCTATCTATCTGCCTCTAGGGGTATCATTTCTATAAAGTAGCCGCGTCTGCGGGTCTATACTATCCGTAACAGGCAGCGCTATCTAAAAAAAAGTTGTAAAGGCACTACCCCCCAAAACACACACAGCTTCTCTGCTTCCGTCTCTGTCTCTCCCCCCCCCCCCCCCCCCCCCCCCCCCCTCCCCCCTGACACACAGCCTCAATTACATCTCGACACCTCTAATCCATCTCCTCCATACTTCCTCCTCCAGCCCCACTAATTCCCCCATTCTTCGCCGCAGCGGCCGCAGCCTCCCCATCCTCCTCACTAACGTAAATCCCCACCAAACAAGCAGCCAGCATACCCTCATAGTTTACCCACGGATGGATCTCCCCAAACAACTTGGTTCCGTCCCTCCCCGCGCCCTTGAGCAGCTCCGGCTCACCGCCCGGGTGAAAAGGGATATAAGGCGTGATGTTGTACACCCTGCCCCCAAGCACCATCCACGCGTCCTTGCCCTTGCGGCCCGTCATCTTCTTGAGCAAGCTCGGCGTCACGCGCAGATAAGGGGTATCCTTGGGTAAGCCGCGCAGGTCCGCGGTCGGGTGGCCTGAGAGCCGGGCCCAGTCTAGCGGGGAGTGGCCGGGGGTGAGGACGACGGCGCGCGAGGGCTTGGCGGGCTTGGTGCTGTGGGTGGGCGGCGGGAAGAGACTGCTTCCGCCTCCTCCGGAGGATGAGGAGGGAGGCCCACGGTTCGGGAGGGGACCACCGCCCGGTCGGCCACCGGATGATGGAGGGAGGGGGAGGGTGGAGGTGCCGGGTTGGCGGAGAAGGTTGGCGGGGAGGCTGCCCCGCGCAGCAGCGGGAAGGGGAGGAGGGGGCATCATCATGCTGGTGCTGGAGGTTGATGATATCACGGCCGGCGTAGGCTTCTCCCCCACCTGTGGTTGTTGTTGGGCTAGTTCGGGAACAGAGAGGGTGAATGCCGGGACCGCATCGCTGGGGATGACCGCCGAGGCTTTAGGGGTTGTCTGCCCGTCTCGAGGAGAACCAGGACTATCGTTGATGCCGTTTTCCAGGATTACCACGGGTGGTGGCAGTGGAGGAGATACTACATCCTTGGGAACCGCTATCCTTTCCTTCTCTTTCTCGTGAACTTGGTCAACATCCTCTGGCTTGGGTTCCTCTATGCGTGGTACAGGACGTTGCGGTGGACGGGGAAGCTGGTTCTGTGATGCTTGACGGTAGAGACTCGTCCAGAACTGTTGAAGCCATTCTGGTCGGCGCAAGACGAGGAGGACGACTGAGGCGACAATCAAGGAAATGCCTAGCAGGGCCATGGTGGCGAAGGGTTGCGCGGCTGTAGCGGGGGTAGGTAGGTAGGTACTGTTGGTAGATGCGGGGAATGGTGGTCGGTCGTACGTTATCGCGGCATTGATGGCTGTATCGACTGATGTTGGGGAGTGCGTGCCAGGTTCCTGTGTCTGCCGTGTCGTGGGGATAAGCGCGACTGGCGCGATACCTATCGCGGGGCAGGCTGGATAGGTACTACGTGATCGACGGTAGCGTCTGCTTTAGTGTAGTGTAGTTGGGATGTCAGCCGACGACGGGAGATATTAGAAAGCCTGAGTGAAGTCTGGTGGGATCTTGTGATTCAGTGGCGCAGAGCCGAAAGCAAAAAAGCAAGGTTCAGTTGAGTGCCCCCAGCTGTCCGGGGAAGGATTTCGTCCGAGTTGGGATGAAATGATGGTGAATCGAAATCGAAATGCACTGAACCGGGCAGGACCCCCACCACCCCATCACATTGGATGTCGCCCTGTAACATCGAACGGATACAGCGACGTTCGGCGGGACAAGGGTGCCCGGCCCGGTGCCCCAAGTCGTCGGGTGACGTGTGGGGCCGACCCAAACCCCGAGGCGCGGCGGGGTCGCTGTTATGCAAATGCGACCAATGCCGTAAACCCATTGTCACTTTGCCAATTTCCGATCTTTAACGATCCCGAACAGTCCCTACAGAAGGCTTCCCCTATACGGCGGTAGACGAAATGAAAGAGCCGCTGCCGCATCTCGGTTTCCAAGCATTGATCTGTCTGTCTGTGTATTTATGGAACGGACAGCGCGGGATGCAGGGTACCTAGGTATTGCAAAGCCCAGCAACGAAGTGGACGTTGGAGAAAGGAAGACTCGGAGACGGCTGTCATTGAAGCTTCAATGCACGTTGGTTGTCTGGATGAGGTGATGTGACCATGGGCGGGACGAAAGAGTGAGTGTGACTGAGTGACTCGATCAGATCGAGGGATCAATGAATGGATGGGATGGTCAACAAGGGCGGCTGTTCACCTGGGTTTACCCTATGTTCCATGTGCTCCTGCAATAATACTCTACCCTTACTAGGTTGACTTGGCTGCTGCAAGTCTGAAATAGGATGGATGGAATAAGAAACGGGCTCCTCCTGTTCCTTCTGTCATCCATCCCTTTTCACCCTGAGGACGAATCACCCTGGAAGACTGCCCAAAAGTGTTTCTTTAGTTTCCATCGATCCGTCTCAACCTTCCTTCCATCCTGTGCCGTGATTACAAGCCATTCAACGAATCTGTGTCACGATACACCACCTCACTGTGTTTTGTCTTGTCTTGTGTTTGGCAATGTCGCCCAGTCCAAGTTGGGGGGTTCAACCAGTAGCCGGAGGACCTTCCCGTCTGTTTTAGTGTTCACAGCGTTCAGCGCTCCCTGTCGCCCGCCTACCGCTCGCACCGCACCCTGCACCAGGGCAGCACATCCTGCAATGCCCCCAAGACCCCAATCCATTGCGCATTTCCCCCCTCGGGGTCCCAACGGCATGGGGACCTCGCGCTCGACCTCACCACTCCCGCCGAGACCCGTCTCCCTCGCTGTTCCAGTTCCCGGCAAGCCCACGATAAACAACAACAACAATCGCAGGTCGCCTTCACCCTCGCCCGCCTCCAGGCCCCGACCAGTGCCGTCGCCGTCACCACAAACTCTCGATTCCGACCAAGATCCCATACGAGGAGGCGCCAGAAAAACAAGGAAACAACCACCTGCGGCAATTGTGACCACCACCATCACCCCTTCTGGAGCGCGGACAGCACACATCTCGACCTCTTCTAGACCAAGCAGCAAAGCCAGCAGCAGCAGTAGCAGTACCACCACCACCACCACCACCACCGGAAAGAGCTCCTCCGCTGCAACCAAGCGCGCAACTGCAACCGCAACTCCAACTCCCTCCTCGGCTGCATCTCCTGCCGGCGCAGCAACCCCGACCTCCACCTCGTCCCGGAACTTCCCCGTTCTCAAGGCCCGCGCAAGTCAACATGGTGCGGCAGCGCACTCGAATTTAAACCCAGGAATGGACAAACCGTCAAACACGCAGTCGCCGACCGTCGCCAGAATGCCCTACGATCGGGCCTCAACCACAACCACCCGACAGCCGCAAACGGCCTCCGTCGCAAGAGCCTCCACCAAGGCACCCCTTACTCCAAAGGTCACCACAGCCCGAGTTTCGTCCGCCTCCACCGTCTCCTCAGCCTCCACGACAAGGCGAAGGCCCGAGTCGGTAATCAGCAGCACTAGTTCGAGGGACCGAGAACATGTCGCGTCGCCAGTGCCGCCCTATCTAGCGGGCAACGTTACCCCGAGAGCTGCGTCGAGACCAAGTCGTGTCAACAGCACCACTACGACCCCTCTCGCTACCCCAAGTCTCGACCGGAACGACCAGTGGGATGCGCGATCGAGCTTGTTCATAACCTCACAAACGACCGACGACCCTCGACGACCCATCGTTACCTTTAGTCCAGCTTCCGATGTTGGAGTCCCCAGACAAGATCCGGATTCCAAATTCTTCTATGCCTCCGAGGCTGCACCGAGATCACCCGCCCAAGGGAGGCCCCCTATTCTCCAACAGGCCAAATCCTCCTCTTTCTTCTATGCAAATGGAGGCACAATACCACCAAAGGAGAGCCCGGGTCCGGCCTCCCCCTTACCCTCCCTAGGAGCGCCGTTCCAGCAACAACAGGACAAACTTTTGAGCAAGTTTATTTACGCCAACGGGGCAGCCGATCCGGAGCCTCCGGTGAGAACCCGGTCCAGGCCATCGTCAGTGGTATCAACAGCGTCCAGGGCACCGTCAAACAGGCCGCCAAGTGTGCTCTCTCAGACACACTATCCTAACAAACCCACATCACCCGTTAAGCTAACCCCTCAGACATCCGGAAGGAGTGGGAGTATATCGGCTATGAACTCGCCGCGATCCCCTGTCTCGGCTAGCGCTGCTCCTTCAAACCGAGAGTCCGTGAAACGCAAGTCTCTGGCTGACCAGCCTGGGACGGCGACAATCAATGGGCAATCAACGAAACGCAAATCTCTCAACGAGCTTCCCTCTCGACCTGCAAGTGGACCGGTGCCCAGTCGCCCCAGCAGCCTGGTCATGGCCGAACCACCAGCAGTGGCCAGGGTCGTGACGCCATATAGTTCTCGGCCTCCTTCGGAAGCACCATCACCTTCTGTTCTATCCGTACCTGCTCCGTTCAGTTCCTTGTCTGAAAATATGGCCTCTGGTGGATTCGCCTCACTTCTCCAGGCTGCCGAGGACTTTGTCGCCGAGGAAGATGAGCAAGATGAAGCAGAAGAAGGGGAGGAGAGCGGTGGAGATGGGGAACCGCGGAGAGGCTCAGTAAGCAGTCCATCAAAATCATCTCCGCAGGACAAGGAGATATCAGACCTTGTTGCGAATGCCCGGAGGGAGCGGAAGGTCCAGGATTTGCAGATTACGAACGCAAGTCTTGAGGCGATTAACCGCACTTTGGAACGGCAACTGCGGAAACAGACGGCTGAGCTTCGGGCTTACAAGCGCCTATCCCGCTCGGGGCGGTTAAATGTCGGGCCCGCTCTAGTCGCCTCTCCAGCTGATGCCGGGCTTTTGGCCGGGGCTGATCTGGACGCACTCAGCGAAGAGGGCAGCGAGCTAGGAGCGGAAGACGGGGAACGGGACACACTGACGGAGGAGTTGGAAGATGAAGATGACGACGACCTCTCAGGATCGGAGGATTCCGCTGACATGACGCCAGCCACGAAAGCGATTCGCGATGCTGAACGACGAGAAAAGGACGAAGAGAGGTTGCGGCTGGATTTATCCAAGCATCAGCAATTGCTATCAGACAGCCAGAAGATCAACCAGAGCCTGAAACGGTGTTTGGGCTGGACAGAAGAGCTGATCAAGGAAGGGAAGCGTGCGCTGGCGTACCAGGTGAAGGCAAGCGACGTTGAGATTGGTGGGCGGGTCCTTGCCCCTGAAGAGGTAGAGGCTCGGGAGGCTCGGGAAAGGGAAGAAGCCGCCGGCGAGGGCGATACGGATACCATCGACGATACCATTAGCGATACCGACCTCGAGGACGATGAGAGCATTTTCACGCCGGAACCCGGCGTTCTTATGCCGCGACTGGCGGCCAAGTTTATCAACGAACAGAACAGACAACAGCAGTCCTGGGGAAAACAGACGCAGGATAGGGACAGCGGCATTGAGTTACAACCCACGGATGGCGGGTGATGGTGCGAACCTCCCAATGGTCAGACGGTCAAGAAGATGTCCGACTATGCCTCGGGAGGCAAAGAGGGAAGAAGACATGCGCGGCTCAAGATGACCAAGAAGAACCGCAGCAATAGACCTGCCGTGCGCGTCGCCCTCTCCACTTATTACTTGTCCCTGATTTGCATTGCTTTGGGCATTGGCGTTGGGAGGTTGTTGTTAACACGCATTTGCGATCAATATTATACCGGATACGTCCTGGCTTTATTCTCTTTCATTCTGTTACTCGCGGGACCGGTTTTGGGACCGAATGTCTTATCATAGCATCGAATTTTGGGCATTTCAGGGCACAAATGCCACTCTTTTCTTCCTGGCTTTACACAGCTTTTTTTTTTTTCCTTTTTCCCATCACTCTATCATCATTTACATCGGCGAGTTTCGTTATACTATTAAGCTAGCTCACGATATACCCAGAACATTTCTCTCTTCTCTCTCTCATTCCCTCTATCTCTTTCATCAAGAGTCCAGTAACAAACACCGGCAACAAACCAACCACCTTGCTCACTCTGGCTGTTTCAAGTCGCTTCTGCTTTCCCGCTTCTCCATTACTTGCATAGGCATTCCCAAGGTAACATCCGGGTGAAGAATAGGATCTGGAGTCAGGGATTCGGTGGTTTATTACTTGGTCAATTGGGAGGGATAAAAAAAAACTATAGAAAACTTCCCTTGGAAACGTTTACATGCCATTGTCTGTTTAAAAAGGAGCGACTCTATGAGCAAAAGGGAGCACTGGAGGGAGAAGAAATCCATAAATATATCCGAAGGCAGAAAACAGAAGCAGACACGCAACATTACAGCAGAGTACGTATGTACGTACAAAGAGGAAGTAACTGATTGATACCCCTTATATCCATGTATCCAAAGGCCATTCTTGGATGCAATCCCAATGCAATTGACTGGCGAAGTTGAAGTACGTTTGTAGATGTCGTCTTTTACGTGTACTAACCCTAACCCATCTGACCACCAGTGGCTTTGCAATACAAGACGCTGCTTAAAGGTTGTGGTGGTTATATGATAACAGATCTTATGCAGGTTTCCATCGTTGTTATTTGACAATACCAGTCTCTTCTATATCTTTGGAGCCACACCCAGTTATATCGATACTACAACGCCTTACCTCCTCCTGCCAAACTTAA